GTCACATTATAACGCCCCCATGGCTGAAAGGGCGAGCATGTTTGGTGGGATGCGGATTCGAACCCGCGACCCTCAGATTGTGAGTCGAGCGCCTTATCCACCTGGCCATGCCGGGCACTACAATAATAGCTCAAAGGTATCCTCCAAGAAACGGCCACCAGGATTCCAAGTGCTTCACTGATCTAACTGCTTTAGAAGATAACACTTAAGAGAAAACAGAATTTTTTTTATCAGTGGTCAATTGACAGTAGTACAATAATAGCTCAAAGGTATCCTCCAAGAAACGGCCACCAGGATTCCAAGTGCTTCACTGATCTAACTGCTTTAGAAGATAACACTTAAGAGAAAACAGAAAAGTTTTTTATCAGTGGTTAATTGACAGTAGTACAATAATAACTCGTATTTCTCATCTGTTCTGCACCACATCTATCCCTCTTTACTCCACTCTACACCTATCTTTCTTTACTCTATCCTGTTTCACACCTATTCCTCTTTAATCTGTCCTGTTTCACACCTATCCCTCTTTACTCCGCTCTACACCTATCTTTCTTTACTCTATCCTGTTTCACACCTATCCTTCTTTACTCTGTCCTGTTTCACATCTATCCCTCTTTACTCCACTCTACACCTATCTTCCTTTACTCTGTCCTGTTTCACACCTATCCCTCTTTACTTCACTCTACACCTATCCCTCTTTACTCCAGTCTACACCTATCTCTCTTTACTCTGTCATGTTTCACACCTATCATTCTTTACTCCGCTCTACGCCTATCTCTCTTTACTATGCCCTGTTTCACACCTTCACCTCTTTACTCCGCTCTACACCTATCTTTCTTTACTCTATCCTGTTTCACACCTATCCTTCTTTACTCTGTCCTGTTTCACATCTATCCCTGTTTACTCCGCTCTACACCTATCCCTCTTTACTCTGTCCTGGTAAAGAGGGATAGGTGTAGAGTGAAGTAAAGAGGGATAGGTGTGAAACTCCAGTCTACACCTATCTCTCTTTACTCTGTCATGTTTCACACCTATCATTCTTTACTCCGCTCTACGCCTATCTCTCTTTACTCTGCCCTGTTTCACACCTTCCCCTCTTTACTCCGCTCTACACCTATCTCTCTTTACTCTGCCCTGTTTCACACCTAGCCCTCTTTACTCCACTTTACACCTATCTCTCTTTACTCCACCCTATTTCACACCTAGCCCTTTTAATCTGTTCTGCACCACACCTATCCCTCTTTACTCCGCCCTATTTCACCCCTAGCCCTTTTAATTTGTTCTGCACCACACCTATCCCTCTTTACTCCGCCCTATTTCACCCCTAGCCCTTTTAATTTGTTCTGCACCACACCTATACTTCTTTACTCCGCTCTACACCTATCTTTCTTTGCTCCGCTCTACACCTATCTCTCTTTACTCTGCTCTGTTTCACACATAGCCCTTTTAATCTGCTCTGCTTCACACCTGCCCCTCTTTACTCTGCTCTGTTCCGCACCTATCTCTCTTTATTCTTGCTCCACACCTATCCTTCTTTAGTTACTCTGTTCCACATCTGTTCCTTTCCACTGTGCACTTTTTTAAACGATATGTTTGTTTAAATTCAATATATTTGCACATAAAATCACCATTTTATGGTGGTGTAAATATTAACTTGTGGAATGCTTTGGAATTGTCACAATCTAGAAATATGACCATACAGTTGTTTTGTATTTATTGTTGTATTATTCCTCACTGTTCTACATGAACGTAATTAATCAAATACATATGTCATAAGCATTTGTTATGATGTTATCCTACGCTCTATGTTCTATCACGAATACAACGAATCAAGTATTCACGATACTCAATATGAAATTTATTGACCTCAGGTGTTGTTGTTTTTTATTATTATTCTTAAACGTTAGTCAAATTATTTATTTTTATGATATTCTGTTCGTTATCTTTGTAGGTAAAGACGACAAAGGATGGAGCATGTACATTGATCACCAAAGATCGTGGTTTCTTCACGCTGATCACCACGGAAATAGAACCGAAGGAGGGGTAGGTGCCGAGTGTGTGATAGGTGTTCTTCTGGACCTAGACCAACATCAGCTGAGTTTCTTTGTGAATGACGAACTTCAAGGTGATGTGGCTTTCTCTGGTCTTCAAGGTGTCTTTTTTCCTGCAGTCAGTATCAACCGGAACGTTCAAGTCACTGTACAAACAGCTCTAGAACCGCCCAATGACGGCGAACTTGGGAGTGAAATCGCAAATAAATAATGTTAGTATAATTTTAGGTCGATAACTCCAAAAAATAAAAGTATTTCAAACGTTTACTTTAAATATCAAACTTAATATCGATAACCGTTGGAAAACAATCTTTTTTTTTAATAATATAATGTAGTACTGTACTGGACTATATGCTTGCTACAACAAGTAATTTTAAAAGTGTAGAAAATAAATTTTCTGTTGTACTGGGCATCATTGGCACAACTTGGAAGGTCACTTTTGTTTTCTACTTAAGCGAAACAGGTACTATTTATGTAAAATATTATAATATATATATATTTCAAATAAAGGTTTGTGGTGTGAAATTTCAAAGTAAAATTTACGAAACGTTTTGTCTTGTATATGGTTATGACTGGCATACTTATACAAAGAAACGACAACAGCAGGTTGTTTCCCAATCGTAACTCTGTAAAGAAACAGTTGTTCTTAACTATTAGTCTTGAACTAATTAATGGAGACAACATAATAGTATTTTAAAATATGATTTAGTACAAAAGTAGTGGCCTAGTTTTAAACGGATAAAGCTGTTATAACAAAACAAATGTGTATAATCATTGTGGACAAACCAAACTGTGTACATACGTTTTGTTACCAAAAAAAAATAGTTACATTGGCACTTGTAAACAAGAAAAAAATAGATGTAAACAAATAGTAATATCAAATTCATGAATGCAATACAACAAAGATAATGTATTTAAAAGAAAAAGAGGTAAAGAGAGACAGTTATGTACACATATGTGGTAGGAAGACTTCTCCCAGCAAGTAGACGTCAAAAAAAAAAACATTTTGAAACAGATACTTCAAAAAGAACGAGTGGATATTTCTTTCACAGCAAGTTCTTATGACGTTCTTTGAAAGTGTAGAAGAAATGAGGGGAACTGCGCATGCACCAATGTAAAAAGTGGAGCGATATACCTAACTATACCAAGCACACTTCTTACTAAAGTTAGTTTTAATTTGTTGTTTAGAAATATACAGGGTGGTCCAAAATTATCTTTCCTATTTTAAAATATAATAATTAACTAGCCAATAAATATATATAAATAACCATGCAGTCCTCAATATTTTGTAGCCCATCTTAAATACTTTTTATTGAAATGTCAGTAGACTTCTAAGTGTACACCATTAGTGGCTCTCGGCATGTCTAACCTATATTCGATTTCAGTTCACGTTCCCTGCGACACGCTCACAGTTATAGTAGCGATGGCATCTGTTATCCTGGTTTTTAGCTCCGTGATGTTTGCTATAGGTGTGCGATACACGATACGCTTAACGTACACCCATACTTTTTCCTGTACTGGCGTCTGTACCATACACTGCACCATAGTCAATGACTTGGTCTCTGCAAGACAAACGACGCATTGAGCCTTTTCTTGTAGGGTTGCCATTTTACGGGGTAACACTACTCATTGTAGTGAAAAACATAACAATAAAAACTTGGCTGCATTTTCTTAGTTATTTGATTGTCAAATTTTAAAAGAGAAAATATAATTTTAGACCACCACGTATATTCTAAAAATGAAATAACTTTAACCATTTACGCTATTCACATAGTCAGTGGCGTAAGTATGTCCCCACAACCAGTGGTGAGATTCAAATATTTTAACAACAGGTTCTCTCACTAGCAGCATGTAAAAATATTA